GGTCACCTCTGAAGCCAAGGACGCTTGGTTTTGGGGGCTTGGCCATTTCTCTCTAGAGGGCTCTGGAGGAAGTCGGGATGCTGTTTCTGCCTGGTCAGCTCTCCTTCACTCACCAGACTGACTCTCCTCCACTTTTAATGGGGTGCTGTGAGTCACGCCTGAGCCATGAAACACCTTTGAAATGCCTCCTGCACTCCCTGGAAAGCCAGAGCACCTCATTTTTATGCCATTCTCAGATGTAGACAGTTTTTGCTACTGCAATGGTAAATGGTCAGAAGTCTGTTTACTTTTGCTCTCTCTCTGCCATTCATGTCCAACTTTCCCTATCTGTCCCTTTCTCTTTTCTACATTTTGGCTTGTGCCCTAAAGAGTGCGATGCAGGCTGGGTCCCGGGGACCCCCCTCTAGGTTCCCTCTCAAAGGCTAGCCAATGTAGGCTTGATCTATTTTTTCAGGGTTTCTTTGCATTCTTTCAGAAATTTGCCATCTTGAGCTCACCATCTTGGCCACATGGTGGGTTAAGGGTTTTGCCCATTCTGACCCTTAACCTTCCACCAAGCTTACCACTCCATCCATCTATTCTAAGGTGCCTTGCTAACAAGTTGCTCTTTTCACAGGCCTGGTAACTGAGGCCCAACCATCTGATGTGCTTTGTTAGCAAAGATGTCTACACATTGTTATAAAAAATTTTAGGTTTTGAGTTTTGCCTTTTTTGTTTTGTGTTGTGTATTCTACTACTGACTACGTGGTTCTAAAATTCTGGGCCTATCTGTGTTAAAATTCTCATCACATCTAACAAGTTTTGTCATTGCAGAATATTTGTTAGTCAATTCTTGATAAGGACCAGGTAAGCTCTATTCTATTTGATCTCCTTGTTGCTTTAATTGGAAATAATAAAGGGCTTTTGTGGCAAAGATTGCAGTTCAAAGCCAGCCCGGGCTGAAAAATCCCTTAAGATTCCATCTCCCAACTAACCTGCAAAAAGCCAGGCTGGAAGCATGCACTGCAAGTGGTACTGTAACTTAACATGGTAGAGCACTAGCCTTGAGCAGAAGTGCTCAGGGACAGTGCCCAGGCCTTGAGTTCAAACCTTCTTGAATACCAACTGGGACAAGCCATCCCAGCAACGAGCACCTAGACTCAGCCAGTCAGGGAAACAAGGGACCATGGAAAGATGTAAGAGGAGATGACGGAGGTCAATAGAAGTAAGTAGCCTGCCCATCTAGTGTCCATACCTGTCTACCTATTAACTGGACGGGAATTTATATTCTTGCCTTTGTTACCTGACTTCTCCTCTACCTAGTCACCAGATGTCAGAAGTAGCTAGGGACATTTCTACCAACATTTTTCAGCCGCAAGTCCTTCCTCTTGCCATTTATTTGCTCTCTAGTATTTTTTTCCAGCCCCTCAATGCCTCATGAGACTTCTCCAGACTTCATCTAAGGACTCACACCACCAAGGGACAGCTGCTGCTAGCTGCCTTCTCTGGGAGGGGACCAAATTCCAGCTGTTTGCCCCTATTGTCGATGCCCCTAGTCAGCAGGAAGTAGCCAGAGAGAATCTGCGACCTATTTCATGATTATTAAAAGGCTGGAATGTAAGGTCAGCTCTTGGATGGCGAGCAGACTCCACCTAGTATCTGCGTTACTTAGGCAACTGGCACACCTGGAAGAGGTCACATCTGCATCCACTGAGGTCACATCTGAATTTGATGTGGCCACACCTTTCTCCGCTCATATCCTAGATAAGGCCTAGCTCAGGCCCAGATGCTCTCTTTCCCAGCTATCTCTTTCCCAGCTCTCTCTTTCCCAGCTCTGTCTCTTTCCCAGCTCTCTCTTTCCCACCTCTCTTTCCTAGCTCTTTCTCTTTCCCAGGCCTTTCCCAGCCCATGGAGGGCCAACATGGCCTGGTGCCAGCCAGAATGATGAATAAACCTACCACTTACCTGCATACCACGTGTGTGGTGTTGTTCTTACTTGCCTACCTCTTTTAAAAAAAAACCTAACACTCACCAAAGCTATGTTTTTAATGTCATTCATAGAATTTTGGTTTTCCTATCTGTCTTGTTTCCTTGTTTGGAAAGATGCAAAATCAGTTCTGCTACTGATGATAACATATTCCCCCAGTCTTTTAACTTTCATCTTTGAAGCATTCTCCTCCTGCTTTAACTATAGTAATGATATCACTGTATCGTTTTCTGGAATCCATTGTTCTAATGAAAACTTGAAAAGGACTAAATACCATAATCCAATCACAAATTTAGCTGGAATAGGGATATTGGTAGTCCCTATACTACCAAATATTCAAAAATACATCTTGTGGTTTGGGCTTGTATTTGATTTCCTGAACCTTTTCATGATAGGATATTGAATCACAAACTTTGTAAGATACTGGGGAGTTCTTCATATTACCTTTCTGGTCAATTGAAATTGAATACCTAAGAAAGGCTTAGGTATTCCTTAGTACATTAAGGAAATTGCATATGTATCTTCAGCTTTTGCTATTATAACTTCATGCTAGCTCATGAAGCAGCCTTCACAAAACCCTGCTTATTTATTTAAATCCAGTAGATGGCTCTACTGCACATAAAGAAGAAAGATCACATGAACTGGTAGCTCAAGTAGGGAGAAAAGGGACAACTTATATAATTAAATACATTATATTATAAACATTTATAGTTTATATGAATTTATATAATTGTATACTTATAATTACTTAATTCTATAAATGTATAAACAGCTATTTCTATCAATTTTACAATTTATAAATATAAATTATAATATTAATCACCTGTGCAGCATTTAATACAATATCAATATAAACTTATTACTTAAGATCTGGTGAAATGATTTGTAACCAAGATACATATTTTGAAAACAACTACATGTAAAAGAATAAAATGAAAAGAGAATATACAGAGTCATATACAAAAGGAAAACATTGAGTGATTCAAAATATCTTGTTCTGATCATTTTATTCTGATCATTTGTGTACATAATTCTTCAATGCCTATACATGTTTAACATACATTCCTTAATCCTCTGTTATCATCAATGTCTCTTAGATAAGAAAAGTGACATTCGGGGCTAGTAAGGTGGCTCAGTGCTAGAGTGCTTGCCTTGGATGCATGAGACCCTGGGTTCGATTTCTCACCACCACATAAACAGAAAAATCTGCAAGTTGTGCTCTGGCTCTAGTGGTAGAGCACAAGCCTTGAGCTGAAGAGCTGAGGGACAGCGCACAGGCCTAGAATTCAAGACCCATAACCAAAAAAAAAGAAGAAAAGAAAAGTGACATTTGTATGCTCTGAGCTATAGATAAGGAACCAAAGGAACCAAAGGCAGGATACAGTTAAGATATTTACATACTCAGATTCACTGCAATGCTGTTCACAGCAGACAAGTCATAGGATCAGCCCAGGTGCCCTTCAGAGGATGCCTAGACAAAGACAAGGTGGTGTATACATACATATCTCTCAGGACAATCAATCATTACTGCAATAGAACTACATCATAATTCCCTTTAATGGCTTAGTGCAGTTCATTCACTCCATCATTTAAAAACTGGTTAGGACTCAGGCGCTAGTGGCTCATGCCTGTAATTCTAGCTATTCAGGAGGCTGAGATCTGAGGATCACAGTTCAAAGCCAGCCAGGGCAGGAAAGTCCATGAGACTCTTACCTCCAATAAACCAGATAACCAGTAGTGGCACAGTGGCTCAAGTAGTAGAGTGCTCACCTTGAGCTCAGGGACAGAGCCCAGGCCAAGACCCACAACTAACAGAAAATAAATAAATAAAATTGACTCAATCACAGATGGTAGACTAATTCTGCCTAATATAATAACACTGGTAACTTGTAACTGGTAACACAGTGATTGAAATGTGGTGAGGCCAAGAAACTTCTGCAATTCTGTCTCTACCATATTTCGGATAAATAAATAAATGAGGAATATCTCATGTTTAACTTCATCTAATTTCTTAATGTTGCTATTAAAAAATTTAAATTACGGGTGTTCTCATATTTCTACTGAACAAGGCCATCCTAAGACAGACACAGGAGACACAGCCCAGCCTTAAAGGTGATGTTCACTACAGCTAATGAAAACAACAAAAATCACATGCATACATGAACAAACACACTAATATATATGTGCTATCAAGTATATGTATAAACAACATAAACAACTGCATAGAGATGGTTTCCATGTTCATGGACACTTCTGTTAATAAGATAACTGCTATACAATTTAACTATTAATGCTAGCTCTGTTTTATAGAAAAAGCCAGAAGTGGCGCTGTAGCTCAAGTGGCAGAGCGCTGACCTGGGCGAAAGGAGCCCAGGGACGGTGCCCAGGCCGAGCTGAAGGCCCAGAATTGGCACAAAAGAAAACAAACACAAAAGTGGCTCAAGCCTGGAACCATAGCTACTGCGGATCAGGGTCTAAAGCCAGCCCCGCGAGGAAAGTCTGTGAGACACACACACACACACACACATACACACACACACACACACACACACCAGCCCCGGGAGGAAAGTCTGTGACACACACACACAGCCCCGGGAGGAAAGTCAGTGACACACACGCGCGCGCGCGCACACACAGCCCCGGAAGGAAAGTCTGTGACACACACACACAGCCTTGGGAGGTAAGTCTGACACACACACGCGCACGCACACACGCACACGCGCGCACACACGGGAGGGGAAGGGAGGGCGTGGGTACTGGCAGCCGCAGGCCCGGCCTAGTCCCGGCTGGCTGCGTCCGGGACAGACGCGGAGGGCGGAGCCGGGAGCCCGCGGGCGGGGAAGGCCGCAGGCGGCCCCGCGTCCCCGGAGGGCCCGTCCTGCCTTCGGGTCACCGCACTTCCGCCCCTTGCGTGTCACATTGACAGACGTCCGCCGTCCCCCAACCAGGCGGCCCCGGCGGCTCCCCACCCCGCCTCTTCCGCAACGCTCGTACGCATGCGCGACCGGAACATTCGCGAAGGTTCCTGAAGCCGCACCGGCGGTTTCCGGAAGCCGGTACCGCCCTCCCCGTCAGTCGGAGTCCCGCGGCAGGGGAGTGGAGGTCGCGCCGTGAGCTGTCGCCGGTCCCAGACCTCGGGAGAAGACAATGGCCTTGCTTTGCTACAACCGGGGCTGCGGCCAGCGCTTCGACCCCGAGGCCAACGCGGAAGGTAAGAGCCACGCCCGGACCTGGCGGCGGGAGGCCCTGGGCGGCCCGGGCTCCACCGGGCTCCAGCCGCGCGCCCGCCGCTACCCACCAGCGCCGCGCCCCCGGGCTACCCGCATCCGCGCTCCCCTTCTCGGCCCCGGGCTACCCGAGTCCGCGCTCCCCTCTTCGGCCCCGGGAGGCCCGGCCCATCCTGCCGTTCCCCTGCGGTGGCGAGCCGGGGCCGGGGGCGGAGAGCGCTGTGGTGCGGCGGCAGAGGCCGTCGGAGGTGCCCATCCCGTCGGAGGTGCCCATCCCGCACGCGAGCCTCGGCCTGGAGGGGGCATGGTCAGTCCGGGACGGCGAGGAAGTCCCGGCGAACCTCTGCGCTTTCTGATCCGCGCGCTCCGCAGCGGCTTCGGAGCCGCTCCCTGGACCCCGCGGGGGCGGGGCGCCCAGGGCCTGCTGGCCCCGGGCGCGGGGTTCAGGGAAAGGTCGTGACCGCACGAGGTGTGCATGTGGCCGGTCACCGCGCCTTTGCTTTAAGGTTGAATGAGGCCAAGCGCCGAGTGGGACACGTTCTCAAATTCGGCTAGCGTATATTGGGTGCATTTTGTGTGGTGGGCTCAGGAGACCGCCCTGGTTAAAGAGCAGTCGTGCAGCCTCTCCAGGGGAAAGGAGATCCGCGGGGCCGAACGTGGAAACGGCAGAGCAAGGTGCGCAAAGTCTCTGAAGCACTGGAGATGTTACCTTAACACGCAGGTGAATCAGTGCTTTAACTTGAAACAAGATCCCTTAGCAGCATTGTAAGAAAAAGACGAGTATGGTCTACGCAGTGCTGTAACGCGTCTGCACAGTGGTGTAAACATTAAGGGGACACTGAGCTGTAACGCGTCTGCACAGTGGTGTAAACATTAAGGGGAAACTGTGAGCTGTAACACGTCTGCACAGTGGTGTAAACATTAAGGGGACACTGTGATTTTTTTTTTTTTAGTGCATCATAAAATTGAGAGAATGAGGATTTTTTTTTTAAGCCTATGTAAAAATACAGTCTTGATGTAAGCACACATTCTATGCTCATGTCCAGTGTAGAGGAGGTTGCTGTTTTGTTGTTTGGGACCTTTTTGTTTTTTTAAAGAATTATGTTCAGGTTCAGAGTTCAAGGGAGATTTTAAAAAATGAAGGCAGTGGAGAGCCACTGGAGTGACTCAACGGTTTCCTGGCCAACAGTACAGACTCGCAGGGACTCTGGAGTAAGATTGCTGGAAATTTGTTCACTCGAGCAAGATTGGAATGGTTTTAGAGATTGGATAAATTAAATTGGTTGAATGAATGGAAGATGAAGGAAACGTGACTAGGAGAAAGTTACAGAATAGATTCAATTTTTTTCCATTGATAAAAATAACTTTAAGCTGGGCGTCGGTGGCTCACGCCTGTAATCCTATCTACTCAGGAGTCTGAGATCTGAGGATCGCGGTTCAAAGCCAGCCCGGGCAGGAAAGTTAGTGAAACTCATCTCCAATAAACCATCAGAAAACCGGAAGTGGCACCATGGCTCAAGTGGTAGAGCTCTAGCCTTGAGCTGAAGAGCTGAGGGACAGCGCTCAGGCCCAGAGTTCAAGCCCCACGACCAATAAAAAGTCCCTTAATCTGTGCTTGGGACTTTTCTTAGGAAGGTATGGCAGAATTTCCATGCTATTTACTTATTTCATCACTTTATGATTTTTATTCCTCCTATGAATAGACTCTCTTCTAAAATAGTATAGTTTAGTTTGTAATACAAACCCAGTGTGAAAGTCTCACGGATTAACTACTGCTGTATTGTGGCTTCTTCCCTTTAAAGTATTAATTTGAGCAAAACTGGTAAGCTTTGTAAAGCATGTTAAATGTTTAGAAAGCAGATTTGGGGGGGCTATTTAGGTATATGGTCAATATCGATTCATTTCTGATACCATTATGCAAGAACCATTATAGCAATTATTTCTTATGAAGATGGTTTTTATGTATCTGTGCAATTTATTCCTATGTCTGCGTTAAATCTGATATTGGGCAAAACTGTTTTCTCTAATTCTATTTTCTTATAAACATCATGTTCTGCATATATATATATATTTATGTCTACCTACCATCCTTCAGCTCTTAATTACACCACTACTTTTAATTGTGATTCCTCTGCTTAATCCATGCATTTACTTACTATTCCAGAAAGTCACTCATTCCTATTCCATTATTTGGTATAGTACCTCTACAGCAGCTAGTTATTAAGGAAGTACCAATAGCTATTAATACTGGGGAGAGAGATTTCTCTTGAGTTCTAGGAATTAGTTTGAAGGCAGCCCCAGGAATCAGAAGTTGTAGAGAACTGAAATTAGACTTGAATGGTTGAGTAAAGTAAGGTAGCTTTATAAAAGAAAGTTACATTTAATGGGTATTAGAGAATATTTTCTCCAGCTCATACTACTGGTCTAGGAGTATGTCTATTACCTAAAAATATTCCACACTGCTTATCTTTTTTTTTTTTTTCTTGCCAATCTTGAGGCTTGAACTCTGGGCTTGGGTGCTGTCTCTAAGCTTTTTTGTTCGAGGCTAGCTCTCTACCACTTGCAACAGAGCTCTACTAGCTTTTTTGGATAATTGAAGCTTAGAGTCTCACAGACTTTCCTTCCTGGGCTGGCTTTGAACCTTGATCCTCAAAAAGCAGCCTACTGAGTAGCTAGATTACCGCAGGAACCATTGGTTCCCCACTGGGCACAACCTTTTTTGGGGGGGGGGAGGGTCGGTTGTGGTGCTTGAACTCTGGGCCTAGGTGATGTCCCTCAGCTCTTTAACCCAAGGCTAGTGGTTTTCTGGTGGTTTGTATGGAGATAAGAGTCTCATGGATTTTACTACCCAGGCTGGATTTGAACTTCAATCCTCAGATCTCAGCCTCATGAGTAGCTAGGATTATAGGCATGAGCCGCTGGCCCCTGGTTTGGGCATAACTTTTTAAAATGACACTAACTACAAGAGTTGAATTAAGTTAGATACTACCAAAAACTTTTTAAACATTTAGCTTATTTCTTCAAAATATCTTTTTAGCAAATCTGTTAGGTGACTTTTAATAGATCATTGTGCAAAATGGGGGAAATTCCTTTCCTAGACTATCATTCATCTTTTTTCTTAATATACCTTTTTCTTCTATAATATGCCATCTGTTGCTTTATTTTATTTTATTTATTTATTTTTTTTGGGGGTCCGGTCGTGGGGCCTGAACTCTGGGCCTGGGCGCTGTCCCTCAGTTCTTCAGCTCAAGGCTAGCGCTCTACCACTTGAGCCACAGCGCCACTTCTGGCTTTTTTTTTTTCTTTTTTCTTATGTGGTGCTGAGGAATCGAACCCAGGGCCTTGAGCATGCAAGGCAAGTGCTCTATCACTGAGCCACCTTCCCAGCCCGACATTTTTATTTTATTTTATTTTTTTTGGGTCTGGTCGTGGGGCCTGAACTCTGGGCCTGGGGGCTGTCCCTCAGCTCTTTAGCTCAAGGCTAGTGCTCTACCACTTGAGCCACAGCGCCACTTCCAGCTTTTTCTTTTTGCTTATGTGGTGCTGAGGAATTGAACCCAGGGCCTCATGCATGCAAGGCAAGCCCTTTACCACTAAGCCACCTTCCCAGCCCCAGTTTGACATTTTTATAAAGGAAGTATTGGGATGTGGTCAAAATGTATGGCTTATAGTTTCTGTACTCAATAATTTGCTACAAAGATGGGAGGAATAAGCATACAATGTGTTACTTTTCAACAGTTAGGTGTATCCAACTATCCTGTAAAACTCTGAATTAGTTTTGTTACTATTTTGACACACTTTGTGCAATGTAGCTAACATAAGCATTAGTGAATTTTAAGGAACAACATTTTCCACACTTAGAAAGGGATTGATTACTAACTCTTTTCTTTGTTACTAAGAGTTGTGTTTTTCTTTTCTGTTTCATGATTAGATGCTTGCACATACCACCCAGGTGTTCCAGTCTTTCATGATGCACTGAAGGTAGGAACTCCATTGCATTTTAGTTTATTCTTCCTCCTCCTCCTCCTCATCTTCCACGTGTTTGTGTGTTTGTTTTAAATGTGGAAATCAAGTCCTTACTTTCCAAATTTGAGTTTTTGCTTTTTTGATGACCATTGAGATTGTATTCTAAGCATCTATTCCACTACACTAAGGGCAAAGAAGTCAGTAGATGGAGATATTTTCTAAAATAATTCTAAAATTATTTTCATTGCAAATCACTTTCCTAATTATTTCTTCACTTCAGAATTTTGAAAGGAAGTAGAAGCAGTGTTTATTGAATCCCAGTCTTCCATCTGTTACTGTTGACTACTGTGAATGGTAGTATTAGATGAAATGATTGTTTTAAACATTTCATGATGTGATTTTCAGGGCAGACATGTTAAGTTTTGAGTGTTTTCTAAGAGAGATATTACTAGTTTTTCACCTACATTTGTATTTCCTTAATTTGGGCAGTTGTTGATGGTGATATTTGTAAAACTTATATATGATAATATGATACATTTGCAAAGTTTCCCTTGTATATTTTAAAAGAAAATGCTGTGGTAGCCTGCTATGGGTTTAGTCTACTTTTGTTTTCAGAAATTTAAGGGTCTTTTAGTATTACTACCCTTGTAATTTTCTAATGATAAGTTCCAGAAAGTAACTGGCTACTGGGCATTTAACTGATAGACATTGAGATCTAAACTAATTTGTACAGTAAATAAGTTTTGTTTTCGTGGTTCTGAGTGATGAAAACAGAACAGACCTGATTCTACTTTCATCTAAATGTTGAAACTGGTTCTGTAGGAATGTTTCTATTTCCTTGGGGGAAATTCTTCTTTCTTGGACTACCATTTACTGTTTACTTTCCTTTTGGTACGTTTATCTTTCTTTTATTCTATTTTCTTTCCATATCTCCTAACTCTAGGAGATCTGTCTTTAGATTCCTGTTTTCTCTCATTGAGTTAGTCTGTGTCCTCAAGTGTCAAGTGAATGCTAAGAATGGATGAATGATTAAGTAAATCCTATGTCCATGTATGTGTCTTCTTGGTAACATAAAATCAGTTACAGGGGTCTGGGAAGGTGGCTCAGTGGTAGAGCGCTTGCCTTGTATGCATGAGGCCCTGGGTTTGATTCCTCAGCACTACATAAGCAAAAAGAAAAAAGCCGGAAGTGGCGCTGTGGCTCAAGTGGTAGAGCACTAGCCTTGAGCTGAAGAGCTGAGGGACAGTGCCCAGGCCCAGAGTTCAGGCCCCACGACCGGATCCCTCCCCCAAAAAAACGTTACAGTAGCTAAAAATGTTTTTGTTCTACTGTATTCTATATTTTTGTCAGCCTAGCCTCACAGAAACTATAGAATTTTATATCTCATTAAATTTCAGATAAAATGTTACATTATCAGTGTTTTATTTAACCAAGCAAGAAATTAATAAGAATGAATATTTTAACATTAGAAGGGGACTATTCAAAGAAAAGAATAGTTTACTCAAGAAAAGACAGCAAGAGAATAGTCAGATTTTACATTTTATCCTTTTTCTTTTTTCTTTGTTTTATATATATATATAGTGAAAATACTGTACAGAGGGGTTACAATTACATGGGCAAGATAATGAGTACATTTCTTATCAAGCATTGTCGCCTCCTCCTTTGTTTCCCCTTCCCATCCCTTCCCACCCTCCCCCCCCCTCCCCCACTTCTCCCCCCCCCCCCCATCCTTTTTCTTGTAGTGCTGAATAGCTAGATAGGCACTGGCATGCACTGGTATTTGTGAACACCTAGTTTGTATTGATGGCTTTCCAGTGATATGTCCCAGTACCTGTCATAACTATGTCTGTATAAGTTTTTTTTTTGGTAGGTCATGGGTCTTGAACTCTGGGCCTGGGTGCTGTCCCTCAGCTCTTCAGTGCAAGACCAGCAATCTACCACTTGAGCCACAGCACCACTTCCGGTTTTCTGTTAGTTAATGAGAGATGATAAGAGTCTCATGGACATTCCTGCCCAGGCTGGCTTTGAACTGCAATCCTCAGATCTCAGCCTCCTGAGTAGCTAGGATTACAGTTGTGAGCCACTGGCCCAGCTTCAGAATAAATTTATTTTTTAACTTTTACTTTGTTTTTGCCGGTCGTGGGGCCTGAACTCTGGGCCTGGGCGCTGTCCCTCAGCTCTTCAGCTCAAGGCTTAACTTTCTACAACTTGAGCCACAGTGCCACTTCTGACTTTTTCTGCTCATGTGGTGCTGAGGAATTGAACCGAGGGCCTCCTGCATGCAAGGCAAGCACTCTACCACTGAGCTATTTTCCCAGTCCCCAGAATAAAATTTTTGATTATGGATGATGTTTAAGCCCTCTATATATTTAAGATTGTGGTAATTGGTTCATCTTAATTCAGAATACAATTAAATTTCAAAAGGAAAATTAAATGTTTTGTAATTCAGACTTTTCTTTTAAAAAAGAAAAGAGATTAAACCTGAAAATGTATATTATACCAAGCAGCAGGATTATACTTTTTTATAGAATAGACAGAGAAACAAGAGGTCAGGTAGATACATACAGATCCGTTCGTAATCTGTTTGGTACCTGAAGACTCCTGCATTTCTATTTCCCTGTTCCCTATTGGAATTAGAAATGATAACTTAAAGCCATTTTTGATAGACCATTTGATACCCTCTGTTAAATAAGATTACACATATATTAGTACATTTTCTATACCTTCTGTCTCTAGCTGAAAGGATCATTTCACTTCAAAGTTGAATGCCTGGAAGGCTGCTATGGTAATCTCTAGTGCTCTGAAAATAAGAGTGTTTACTGTTTGAGCTACAGTAGGTAATATTATCTTTTATTATCTTTCCTCTTTCCTCTACTTTTCCTTTTTTTTTTGATGGTTCTAGGGTGTGTAAGGGGTCTCATGCTTGTAAGGCTGGCATTCTGCTAAGTCAAACACCTTCACTTATTCCCCAGATCCTTTAAATATGTGATTATGATTTCTTGTTGTTGATGGTTTAGGGTATTCTGCCCCTAAGTTGAATTATTAGCTCAAATATACAATATTTTTTTAATAATATCTAACCTAGTTTTTTGGGGGAATCAAATGTTACTCATAGTTTTCTATTTTAAGGTGTTTTTGACAATAATTCATAAGATACTAATTATTAAAAATCAAACACTAAAAATCATTTTACTTGATTATGATAACCATGTACAGAATTGTCAAACTGAAATTTTGTATATGGAAATTACTTTAGGATTCGATGGTATACTTACCAAGATGTATATAGGTCATGGTTTCTAAGGAGATAAATTTTTCAGTGCTTCTTTCTTACCTTTTATAGGGTTGGTCTTGCTGTAAGAGAAGAACAACTGATTTTTCTGATTTCTTAAGCATTGTAGTAAGTACTGTTTTGCATCTTGATCATTTTCCTTAAAAATGCCTATTATAGGAAGTACCGGATTTGAATTAAAATGTAGTATATATTAATGGATCCTCATTACCAGATAATACCTTACCCTTAAAATGGAGTTTACCTACTTTCTACAGCCTCTAATAAATAATTTGTCTGTTTGGGAGACTAAGGTTGTAAGATACTAATTACTCATTTGTCATTTTAGGTTCTTGATTTTAGTAGTCTTGAAAAAACATCAAGAAGGAACTGGTAGGCAATTACTTATCAAATCTTAGATATCATTATTGTATATACCACTAAGAAAGAAAACTGTCATGCCAAGCCCTGGTGGCTCACGCCTGTAATCCTAGCTACTCAGGAGGCTGAGATCTGAGGATCATGGTTCAAAGGCAGCTCTGGCAGGAAAAGTCTGTGAGACTCTTATCTCAAATAAACCACTCAGAAAACCAGAAGTGGTGCTGTAGCTCAAGTGGTAGAGCGTTAGCCTTGAGTTGAAGAGCTGAGGGACAGCGCCCAGGCCCAGAGTTCAAGCCCCACAACTCACACACACACACACACACACACACACACACACACACACAGAAAACTGTCATTACCTACACCTTAGACATTATCTTGCCCAGGGTTATAAAGTCAAGGACTTCTTAATTTGTGAATGATATAAGTAATGTGTGAAGGCTTTTTCTTTTTAAGTATGAGAGGTAAAAACTATTTTACAAATAATAGCAAATTTGGAGTTTTGTTTTGCATTTTTTAAAATGAGTCCATGCAATAAAAATATTTCATGGCCTGTGAAGTAGATGCTTCATAATTAGTATCTTTTACTAACAGGGCTGTACTAAAGGTAGGCATAATAGTGAGAAACCACCTGAACCAGTCAAGCCTGAAGTAAAGACTACTGAGAAGAAAGAACTATCTGAATTGAAACCCAGGTTTCAGGAACACATCATTCAAGCCCCCAAGCCAGTAGAAGCAATAAAAAGACCCAGGTATGCTTTATGTCATTGCTTATTTCATCAAACTTGAGTAGTAGCAGTTGTTCATAATGTTTCCTTTTCTTATTTGCCTAGTAGCATTTGTAACTACTATATAGACCACCATTTGGTTTTTCTCTTACATAACCTTTTCATTTATACCTTCTCAATTTGATGAACTCTGTACATTTTGCTTATGCCACCATGACTACTGATGCATGTTCCATTTGAGTTGAGTCATATGTCTTTCTTTTGCTAGGCCTGTCTATTTTGTGGCATGGTAAAGTTGGTTTTTCTTGGAGTTAGTTTGAATTGAAAAAGAGGCCTAATCACTTTACTGTTTCGATGCTGGACAACTACTGTTCTACTGATGTTAGCTTTAAATCTGTGTGGTTAGGTGAAGTGTCTGAGTCTTAAAATAGACTTTACTTATTATGAAGTAGAATTAGATTGTTCAGAATCACCTTTTGATCAAATAGGATGTTTGAAAATCCTACATACAACAATGTTCAAGAAGAAATATACTCATTACTTTTATTAACGGTAACCTCTGTGTTCATCATCCTTACTATAAAATAAAATTAAAAGGAAAAGAAATTGCTACATGCATACTAGGTTTGTTACACAAGGTAAACTGCACTTGAGTACTAAATGTTTTAAAACCAAACTGCAGCATTTAAACAAATGGCTTATGCTCTCTGTCCTTTTTGAATTTGGTTAAATAGCTCAGAAGCAATTCACAACCCCAGTAAAATTTTAATTCATCTATCAAATAATATAGAACAAGGATAAGAACCCTAAGATACCTGATGCCTGTTTCCCATTTACATTTGGAAATACAGATAAACTACTCAGAAAGATTTTATTCTATGTGTCTCGCTGGTCAATTCAAAAAAATTATGTGTATATATATATATATAATATATAGATATATATATATACACACACACACATACATACACATGCACACACATACACACAGATGTATGATAAAGATGAGAGGGCTGCATGGCTCTATTCTTCATTTCTATGTTTCTGCGGGATCTACTATAACAATAATATGAGTAGATGCTATTTTTAAATGAAGGGTTACTAATAGTTTTACATAAGAGGCAGTGAGGGAAATGAAACATTTTGTCTTCTTTTTGCTCTTTTGAGACTGTGCATTATGTAGTCCAGGCTGCTCTGGATCTTGATGTGTAGCATGGCCTGGCCTCAAACTTGATGAAGCCTCCTACCTCTCAGCCTTCCAGGTGGCTAAGGAGATGGTGTATGTTATTGCTGCATTTATTAATGCTTTTAATACTGGTTTGATGAGTAGCTGTAAACAGTATATATAAAACAGTCATTCTGAGCAGGTTTTATCATTGTAGAAATTGCCTTGCCAGTATATCTGATTTTATAGGCCAACATAAAATAAATTATCTGTAAAAAATGCATAGGTAAATTAGTCTCTACTGCTAAGAATAAGCATAAATTCAGCCTGGATGCTGTCCCTGAGCTTCTTTTCTTTTGCTGCAGTACTTGAGCCACAGCTCTACTTGTGGCTTTTTAGTAGTTTAGTAGAGATAAGGGTCTCACAGACTTCCCTGCCCAGACTGGCTTTAAACCACAATCCTTAGATCTCAGCTAAAGATTGCCTATTATGGTCTCAGCATTTTGCTTGGGCATGGAATAGATGTTATTTTTTGGGTCATTTCCTCTACCATTACTCCATCCTATTAGCCCTGTTCATAAGTAATTGAATATACTATGGCATAACTACTTGAGGGCAAATATTTTAATGTAAAAACTTTATTAAAAGTTTAAGTGTAGGTAAATTATTGCAGTTATTTGTAAAATGCTTTTCATGAGGAATATTTGATACACAACTTCTCATAAAGCACATTTTACAGCTTAAGTATGAATAAACATTTTGATATGTTAAATAAAAATGGTAATAAGATTTGAAATTCTCCAGCCCAGATGAACCAATGACAAACTTGGAATTAAAAATTTCTGCCTCCCTAAAACAAGCACTCGATAAACTTAAACTGTCATCCGGAAGTGAAGAAGAAAAGAAAGGTAAGCTTTATTATTTTTTTTTTCCTGTACAATGTAAGCAGTCATCGTAGGCACAGAAGTAGTTTGCAAAATATGTTTGAAAATATACCACCATTTAATAATGAGTTGACTTTTCTTTTCTTCTTCTTCTTCTTCTTTTTTTTTGCCGGTCATGGGGCTTGAAATCTGGGCCTGAGTGCTGTCCCTGTGCTCTTCAGCTCAGGACGAACGCTCTACCACTTGAGCTACGGCTTTTCTGGTGGTTTATTGGAGATGAGAGTTTCACGGATTTTCCTGCCCAGACTGGCTTTGAACCTGGATCCTCAGATCTCAGCCTCCTGAGTAGCTAGGATTACAGACGTGAGCCACCCGTGCCCTGCTGAGTTGACTTTTGTGTTTTGTTTTTTTGTTTTTGTTTTTTTTGTCAGTCGTGGGGCTTGAACTCTGGGCCTGAGCGCTGTCCCTCAGGTCTTCAGCTCAAGGCTAATGATCTACCACTTGAACTACAGCGCCACTTCCGGTTTTCTGGTAGTTTATTGGAGATTAGAGTTTCACAGACTTTCCTGCCCGGGCTGTCTTTGAATCATCCTCAGATCTTAGCCTCCTGAGTAGCTAGGATTACTGGCGTGAGCCACTAGCACCCGACTGAGTTGACTTTTCTTAAGTGTAAATAATTCCACAAAATGAATATGTGATTTTTTTCTGTTAAATTTTTATTGAATATGAGAATAACATTTAAATTTCTTTGATAATTGAAAATGTTTATTAATATTAAATATCTTTAATTTTTTTTCTGACCTATGCCTAATATGAGGAGGCAAAAGTTATTTCATGATTTCTCTTTTAGCAAAATAAAGATATTACATTATATAATTAGCTCTTATGTAATTTTGGTGATCTTAATAAAACCTAAAGTTTTTTTTTAATATGACATATTGAAAATATGACATATTACTATTTAAGAATGGTACTTCAGGGCTGGGAAGGTGGCTCAGTGGTAGAGTGCTTGCCATACATGTATGAGGCCCTGGGTTCAATTCCTCAGCACCACATAGGCAGAAAAAGCCGGAAGTGGCGCTGTGGCTCAAGTGGTAGAGTGCTAGCCTTGAGCTGAATTGCTAAGGGACAGTGCCCAGGCCCAGAGTTCAGGCTCCATGACTAGCAAAAACAAAAAAACAAAAAAAACAAAAAGAATGGTACTACAGTGAAATTCTATTTTAATTTGTTTACCTTTTTTACAAATGACAGTGGTAAAATAATTATTTTTCATTTTAGAAGAAGATGGTGATGAAATTAAAGTTGGGACCTCATGTAAAAATGGAGGGTGTTCAAAGGTATGTATTATAAATCTGTGATGTTATGAAATAAAACTTTTGTTTTGGTGCCAGTGCTGGGGCTTGAAATCAGAGCCCAGGCACTCTCCCTAAGCATTTTTGCTCAAGGCTGTGCTCTCCTACTTGAACCATGCCACCACCTCTGTTTTTTGCTTGCTAATAGAGATAAGTCTTAAGGACTATTCCTTCCTGAGCTGTCTTCAAACCTTGATCCTTAGACTGTAGCCTCCTAATAGCTAGGATTACACAGATAAAACTTCACTGAAACTATTTTAAAGCAAAGAAGTATTCACTACCATTTTAGCAAACAATTGTGTGTTATATCTTGGGCATTATATTGACAGCTGAGATTACAAACTTGGATTAGGGACTGAACAAAAGCAGTCTAATAGAATTATAGAATATAATTTGAGCATGAGCATTTAGCATGTAGTACACATTGTTTTAGATACTAGAACATTGTTCTTGTGGGAAGTTACAAATAGGCAAATAGATGTTAGAAATTGTTAGACATGGCTATAAAGCAGACTAAGGAACTTGTGTGGTTAAGATTGTCAGTGAAGTTCTTTTCATGTGGTGACACTAAATCAGGATTCTGAATAATGTAGAAAATGAGTTGTTAAATCTTGGGAAGAGAGCTATGGATAGAGGGGAACAACATGATTAGAGGCTTTAGAGATGGGATGTTCAAAGAATACTGGGTCAGAAAAACTTGAACAAGAGCAAACTACTGGGTAAAGAAATAGACCAGCTTATGGAGATAGTGTAACGATGAGGAGCGGTTTAGACTCTTCTAAATGTAATAGTAAGCCATTACCTGTTTTAGGTAGAACTGTTTGAGGTTACTTGTTTTTTTTTGGGGGGGGGGAGGGGGGGTCCGGTCGTGGGGCCTGAACTCTGGGCCTGGGCGCTATCCCTCAGCTCTTCAGCTCAAGGTTAGTGCTCTACCACTTGAGCCACAGTGCCACTTCTGGCTTTTTTCTTTTTGCTTATGTGGTGCTGAGGAATCGAACCCAGGGCCTCGGGCATGCAAGGCAAGCGTTCTACCACTGAGCCACCTTCCCAGCCCCAGGTTACTTGTTTTGATTCAGGGTTTCACTGTGTAGCTTAGACTGGCCTTTTAATTTACTTTATGGCTCTCGTGTTCTCTTAATTCTTGATCTTTCTGCTACACTCAATTTAGGAAGGAGATTCAAAAGAATTTTTAGTAAAGTACAGGTTGATAGGGCATGAATGGAACTAGAAGAAGAAAAACCAGCTGTAGATGCTCTTGTGAAAGACTAGGCAGTGAGATTATACAGAAGACAGTTGAGAAGTGACTGAATATGAGGTATTGTCAAACATTTTGATCAGACTTTCTCTTGTTTACATACCCTCTATTTCTCCTCTCCTTTTTTTCCCCTCAGTGGCACTGTTGACTTATTTTGGTATCATCTATTCACTTTGTGATTGCCTCCATGGAAAGATTTGAAATAGTAGGTTTTGCTTTATTCTTAGTTTTAGCTTTGAATGGTAGTCCAGTACCTAGCACATAGCAAATCCATGTAGAATGAGTATTTGGAAAGTATTGGCAATACTTGTTTTATGGATTATATTTCTTCATTATGGTGATGCCATAAACTGAGAAAGTAAAAGTTGGGTGGGATTTTAGGTTTTCTGTTAAGTTTGAGATCACTTACTATGAAATTAAAATGTAAGTATATTCACATGTACATGAGGCAGAGTTAGTGAATAAAATGCAATGATTGAACTGGAGGCTTAGCTCAATTAGTAGAGCATCAGGCATGAGCAAAGAAACCCCAGCAACAGCTTGAGGCCTGGAATTCAAGATCCCAGTAATATAAAAGCCAGCAGCAGGGGTGGGGGTAGGGGTAGGGGTAGGGGTGGCTGGGAAGGTAGCTCATTGGTAGAGTGCTTGCCTTGCATGTATGAGGCCCTGGGTTCGATTCCTCAGCACCACATGAGCAGAAAAAGCAGAAGAGCTGAGAGACAGCACCCAGGCCCAGAGTTCAGGCCCCATGACCGACAAAAACAAAACAAAACAACAAAACAGCAGCAGCAGTAACAATGGGAATGCTAATTTGAAATGAGAAAGTTAGTGTAAATGAAAGAGTAATGGAGACACTATCGAGTTTTGGACAGTTATAACAGTTCTAAACATGGAAAGAAAAATAAAGAGGACATAACTAGTGGAAATGAGATGAGTAGTAAGTAGTATTAAAAATAGTTAAGAATGATAACTAAATCTGTTGCATCGAATTGAAGGACATAGTAACAGCTACACTCTTTAATACTGGGAAGTTAAACCTTACTTAAGGTGTATAGTATGGTTATAATTTATACTTTCCTAGTAGTAATGTTGTGTACCTGTTTTAATGTTTACTATCCAGCTTTACTAGTGAAATGTGTACAATCTCTTACCTTTATTTTTAGTCTTTTGTCTCAGATACTGTGCCTTTTCATTATCCTTTGATAAACAGAAGTCATTTATAATTTTCACAAAACATGGTTTGTCCATCTCTTATGAGTAGTACTGTTCTATGTCTAACAAATACTTCAGGGCTATGAATATTTTCCCTTAGAGTAACATTTTTCTGTTAAGAGGCAGATTTAGATATTCAAAACATGTGGAACTGATTTTTGTAGGAAGTGCACCGTACATACCAAGATTGTTGCTGTAATTTGAAACTAATAAGATTGTAAGGGAAAGAAATGAAGGGGTGGAGAATGACTTGGTAGACAACAGTACAGTCTGATCACCTGAAATCTGCTACTTTATGAGGAAGAGAAACTAAACTAAACTAATAGATATTTACAGGTCAAATTCATTGGAAGTAGTTAATTTTCTACATAGTAGACTATATGTTAGGAAGAGAGAAGAAACTGAAATGGACCTTCAGAATTTTGCTTCAGAGATTTGGAAGACTAGATGTGGTCTCATCAACTCCAAAAAGATAAGAAGAATAGAGTTGGGGCAGTAGGGAGACTTATACCAAATCTTATTTTTTGTACTGTTGTAATATGAATACAAAAATTGAAGGACAATGTGCTACCAGCTGCACCCATGTTTTGTTAACATTTTTATGAATTTATCTGTAGTCTTCACCTACAGCAGCTGTAGGGCCCATATCTTCCAGAAAAACTATGGGTATACATATAGTTCTGCCACTTGTTTGACCAGTTGTAGGGATTAAAAAAATCATTCTAAAATTTCCAGATATGTTGGACTTAATACTTAAATTAACTGATACTAAATCCCCAAATGTGGCTGGATAGGATCATACTCCAAAGGCTGAAAGAATCTTAATATACTTTGTTGTATACTTTTCTACTAGCTTCTCTCATAGGGACCTAAAATTTAATCATGTCTTACAATAGGTAATTTTTTTCATTCCTTAATGGAATGAAAGCTCCTTGGAAGGAACTTAACCACTGTTAAATATGATTCTTGTTATTTCTTGAATGTTTGACAAAGTTCATAGTACTATATGTCTGAGATGTAATTGAGTGATAACCAGTTAATTCCTTTTGCTTTATATTTTTTTCTTTTAGACATATCAGGGTCTGCAAAGTCTAGAAGAAGTCTGTGTATATCATTCTGGAGTACCTATATTCCATGAGGGGTAATTTATGCATGACGAATTTACTTTATGGTAAAAGTTAGAAATGATGATGGGGCTGGGAAGATGGCTCAGTGGTAGAGCGCTTGCCTTGCATGCATGAGGCCCTGGGTTCGATTCCTCAGCACCACATAAGCAAAAAGAAAAAAGCCGGAGTGGTGCTGTGGCTCAAGTGGTAGAGCACTAGCCTTGAGCTGAAGGGCTGACGGACAGCGCCCAGGCCCAGACTTCAGGCCTCACAACTGGACCCAAAAAAAAAAAAAAAGTTAGAAATGATGAACCTTTATTTTTAGTTATTTACAATGAAATGTTACATAGAATTTTACCTACATTCCCATTTAATCACTACAATAACCTAAAAATTGGATTCATCTTAACACATGAAAACACAAAGTTTCAGTTAGCCCAATCCAGTATTTTTCAATTGTTCCTGTTTTTTTTTTTTTTTGAGGCAGGCTCTCACTAAGTTGTGTAGATACAATTCTCATGATTTAGCTCCCTGTGATTGCAGGTATATACAGCAGTATATGTGTAGTCTAAATTCACTTTTTCTTGGAAAATATATCCTGCTGTATTGTCAGACGTTTAGTACTGTTAGGGGACTGTTTATTCAAGGAATCCCATTCTTTTCCTCAGTCCTTGGTTGAGAGCTTATCTTTTACATTAAATTATAGCTCATTGACACAGTATTATGTTAAAGTTTTTTGTTTTCATATGCTTCAGGTCTTTTTTATTTTTGGTTGGTTGTGGGGCTTGAACTTGGGCTGGGTGCTGTCCCTGAGCCTCTGTGCTCAAGGCTAGCATTCTACCACTTGAGTCAGAGCCACTTCATGATTCAGGTTTTAAACTTGTAGTTCTGTTGTGACTCTTACCTTGCTGTGTTTGTATTTTTCTGCACAAATTGATAATGGTTTTTACTTATTTGGAGACATTGCTTTTCAATTTGTTTATCTGTTTTTCAATGTGTTATTAAAATGTGAAGATTGCTTTTGATCCAGAGTGTGGGTTGTCAGTGGAAAGCTGACTTAAATTTTTTCAGTTTTTAATTGCTTTTACTCAGAATTACTGAGTAAGTGTAATTTTGGATTACACAATCAGTATAAAACACCCTCAATTTTCAATTAGTTTTCCTAATAATATATATAATATATATCTGGAACACTTTAATAATGTAATACTTGTAAGGACTATATTTCGAGTCATATGAGTGATTTGGTTTATTAAAATCATTTGTCACTATAATAGTTCTGGACTTCATTGTGAAATCTTTCTTCTGTTAAAGGATGAAATATTGGAGCTGTTGTAGGAGGAAAACATCTGATTTTAACACATTTTTGGCTCAAGAAGGTTGTACAACAGGAAAACATATGTGGACAAAAAAGGATGCTGTAAGTAATTTCATGGTAACATACTGTATTCATCTAAGTCATTTTTAAAAGAGGGTTTTTTTTTGCCAGTTCTGGGGCTTCAACTCAGGACCTGGACACTGTCCCTGAGCTTCTTTTGCTCAGGGCAAGTACTCTACCACTTGAGCCACAATGCCACTTCCTGCTTTTTCCGTATATGTGGTATTGAGGAATGGAACCCAGGGCTTCATAAGCTACATTCCCAGCCCCTTTAAGAGAGCTTTTATTTTTTATTTTTATTCTTTTTTGTTGGTCATGGGGCTTGAACTCTGGGCCTGGGTGCTGTCCCTGCGCTCTTCAGCTCAAGGTGAGTACTCTACCACTTGAGCCACCTCTCCACTTACAGCCTTTTCTGCTTATGTGGTTATGAGTAATTGAATCCTGGGCCTCATGCATGCAAAGCAAGCACTCTACCACTGAGCCACCTTCCCAGCCCCAAGAGAGTTTTTAAATTAAAAAAAAAAAACATTCCATCAGAGTATATCATTAACATTCCTACAATGTAAAATTAAGCTGAAGAGAGCTTTCAGAATAGTGTGTAATCAGAAAATAGCTATTATATTGGTGCAAATCTGTAGGGTTTTGGGACATACTTAGACTGCTGAAAATTAATTCACTTTTGTCTTTTAAATTAAAATTAACTTTTTAGACTGTTGCCATTTTTTGTTTTCTAATACTTTTCTGTTAATTTGGTACTATTATTAGATGGGCCACTAAAAACCTTGAAACACACTTTAGCCTCAAGTACTCCATCTAGTGGCCAAGGAAGAGGATTGCAAACTTGTTTGAGAATGCCCATAAAAGCATGTTCTTCCCTGTATAGATGGTTTTTTTTTTTTTTTTTTTTTTTTATTGTGAAAATACTGTACAGAGGGGTTACAATTTCATGGGCAAGATAATGAGTACATTTCTTATCAAGCATTGTAGCCTCCTCCTTTGTTTCCCCTTCCCATGCCTTCCCATTTTCCCTTCCCCCCTCCCCCACCAAAGTTATAAACTTTGTTTTCAGCATAACAACTTATACATCTCATTGTTGCACCACAGATCTAAACAACTGCATAAATCAACTAGGTTTTTATTGTTTTATTTTGAAATTCTTCCAGTTAAATAGGTGCTACTCCCCTTTGTGAGGGGAACATATAGATAGCTGATTTTTGAATAGTTACTTGGGCAGTTTTTTTTATTTTTACTTTTTTCCTGGTCCTGGGGCCTGGGCCTCTGGGCCTGGGCCCTGTCCCTCAGCTCTTCAGCTCAAGGTTAGTGCTCTACCATTTGAGCCACAATGTCACTTCCGGCTTTTTCTGTTTATGTGGTGCTGAGGAATCGAACCCAGGACCTTGTGCATGTAAGGCAAGTACTTTACCAGTGAACCACCTTCCAAGCCCCTTTGGACAACTTTTTTAAAAGACATGAGGTTGTGCATATACTCCCCTCAAAGCTCTTAAAATTACAAGAAGGAAAACAATTTATTGCCGAATGATCTTTGTTCTGTGTGTTGGCTGCTATCATCTGTTTAAATTATGTGCCCAACCTTTTGTCCTGTATTGGCAGTAATGCAATGCAATAAGCTTTTAAGTTCATATAACTTACTTAAAAAAAAATTGTAAATTTTCAAGTCACCTATATAAGTTTTGAAAAAATAGGGGCTGGGAAGGTGGCTCAGTGGTAGAGCACTTGCCTTGCATGCCTGAGGCCCTGGGTTCGATTCCTCAACACCACATAAGCAAAAAGAAAAAAGCCGGAAGTGGCGCTGTGGCTCAAGTGGTAGAGCGCTAGCCTTGAGCTGAAGAGCTGAGGGACAGCGCCAAGGCCCAGAGTTCATGCCCCACGACCAGACCCCCCGCCCCCCAAAAAAAGAAGTTTTGAAAAAATAAAATGTTTCTAGTATGATAAAAAGATTTTAGAGTAATGCTCTTGAGGAAATGATGTGTTTTGTTCACATTGTTTTATAACATACTGTGATACTTCCTGAATTGTGTTTGATGGTGATCAAAAGAACACTTCTGTAAATTCCCACATTTTTCTGCATGATAATATAAAAGGACAAAGCGACTCAATACAAGTAAGATAGTTAAAAACTCTAAGGGTTTTTTTTTTCCTCTCCAGTTCTCACATGTAAAAATCAGTTATCTATACATGAGGTTAATATGTTATATGCTTTTTCCCATTGAGCAAATGCCATTCTGACTGTATCCTGAAGGTCTTTTTGGTTGTTGTTTTTTAAAATGATTATTGAAAATCAAAATTGGATAAATTTTCTTTTTTAAATAATTTCAATAATTTTAAAAATTTGAACTTAAACATAGGTTTTTTGGGGTGAAATAAAGAGTTGCACTATTTACAAACACTATTATATAATACTAAGTAGTAGAAAACCTTGTCTGTAAACCATGCTTCATATATATATATATATATATGTATATATATATATGTATATATATATATATATATATTTTTTTTTTTTGCACATTAGTGTGAAGCCTAGAGAGTATAGAGATGAGGAGGGTGATTAGAAGTGGATATAGATAACGTATCAGAATGTTGGTTGCCTACACAACACAAAACTGGATAAATTTTCTTAAGACCTTAAAGTTTTGTGTCTAGAAACATCGTGGTCTTAAAAGAGAAAAACTTAACTGGATGGTATAGTTATGTTCAGATATCATAAAACTAATAAGATACTTTGTATTTTGTTAAAACAATTAAAGAAATTTCTTTTATTACAGGGGAAAAAAGTTGTTCCATGTAGGCATGACTGGCATCAGACTGGAGGTGAAGTCACAATTTCAGTCTATGCTAAAAATTCTCTTCCAGAACTTAGTCGAGTAGAAGCAAATAGTACATTGGTAAGTACACAACTAATAGTAATAATTGTTAAACATGCTTTTTGTATTAATGTCTTATAAAATATCCTTATTTTTCATGGAAAACATAATTTTAAATTACTCTTAGAATTTCAGATGAAAATTCCCATGTTACAATTTTCTTTCAACACAGTTTGCTAGGTAATTCAGTAGCTTAAAGAGTTAGCAAGTAATAAGATACTTAGTTCTCAGTGTGAAACTTCAGGTCAGTTTTGCTTTTCTGTTATTTATTTATTTATTTATTTATTAATTTGTCGTGGGTCTTGAACACTGGGCCTGGGCGCTGTCCCTGCGCTCTTCAGCTGAAGGCTAGCTCTACCGTTTGAGCCACAGTGCCACTTCCTGTTAATGTTTTTTTAATGAAGAAAAACTTATAATATTGACAGTTTCACAAAAATGTGTTTTTATTTTCATAACCAGTGTTTGTTTTCATAAACTCTTTACTTGTTTATTGGTTAAGCAGTTAACTTTCTGTTGAGTTGTGGCTCAATACGTAGATTGTGTACAGTCTGTGTACTTTTCTGGGTTCTATCCTCAGCACCGAAATAAAACTCATGCTCACTTTTTCTGTGTCTTTTAGTTAAATGTACACATTGTGTTTGAAGGAGAGAAGGAATTTCATCAAAACGTGAAATTATGGGGTGTAAGTATTACGAATCCATCAATATTTTTCTGAAAATTTAAAATACCGTTTTTTAAAAAGACATAGAATACCACTTACCAAGAAATTCAAGTATGTAAGTTATATTATCAAGAAGTTTAACCTGGAATAAAAATGGGTTTAGAGCATAGGTTTGGAATTTTTAGCGAAGTAAGAACGTTTTCCACTGAGTCTATGAAAGCATTTAACCTTTTTCTCACTCCTTGATACATTTCAGGTGATTGATGTGAAGCGAAGTTATGTAACTATGACTGCAACTAAGATTGAGATCACCATGAGAAAAGCTGAGCCCATGCAGTGGGCAAGTCTTGAACTACCTACCACCAAAAAGCAGGAAAAACAAAAAGAGGTCGCCAATTGAATGGGAAGAAGCAAAAGCTGTGGCAATTTCATAATACTGAGTAGTATGTGATGAAGGGATGGCTTCTTTTTGTTGTTGTTTTTAAATCTGGCATTTCAGGGTCAACGTGTGAGGTTCTCAAAGCCAAAGTCATTTTCTCTTTATGTGCCTCCCATCTTCCTTTTAAGTTCTATAATGTTGATTATTTATTTCTCCTCACTGGTTTTGACCCCCATCCTTGAAGAAGATGGAGAATTGCTCAATAACATCATTGCAGTATTTCTTAGTATTTCTATTATGTTAAATAGTGAAATAAAAGGCACCTTTGTCTTTTCCATGTCTCTGTTATCCCATAATTAGGAATTGAGATGAACTGTTTAAATTTCTATCAGATTTTTCATGGATCTTTGTTCTTATAATGCTTGAAAACCTTAAAGAAAAGCAGCTGCTCTGTGTTGTTTCCCTAGGGTAGTTAATTCTTTTTAGGACTGATGATAGTAAATAGGAAGCTAAAGGAGAGTATATTGCTACCAAATGAGCATTTGTTTACAATCAATTTAGTTTAAAAACTATTACTTGCCAAACTGTATGATTTGAAAGGATAGAAATATAGATAAAGTTATAGAAGTAACAATTTGTTTAAAATTCACCATTTATAAAACTAAGCAATAATGTTTTTTAAAAAAAAAGCGTGTTTTTTGTTTTTGTTTTTTTTGGTGCTGGTGATTGATCTTGGTTAGCACCTTGCTCTTTCTAGTCAAGTGCTCTTCCACTGAGCTAAATCCCCAACCCCTATTTAGATATCTTTATATGGTGTTGTGACTAAATTGTACCTTATCTATAGTCGCCTGTTAATTAGTTGCAGATATAAAGAAATTTTATATATTTGGTTTCCCTGCTAGGAAAATTGCAATCATAAAAGTCAAAATCTTAAGGGTTTGTGGAAATATGTTAAGGTATAGCAAAACTAAATATATAACCCTTGGTTTATACCAACGGTCTATTTCATATTAACTAAATTAAAGAGCATAATTCTTTTGGAGTTTTTCTTAAGACTTTTATGAAGACCTTGACAATTTTTTAATACAGTGCTCATTTATATGTTGTACTTTATTTGTATTAAATATAGATGGAACAGAATTTTAATTATTTGATCCAGTTAGATTCATTTGTACATAGGTTACTTTTTGAGCTGGTGCTGAACTCAAGAAGGAAATTTAAATTTGGAAATGTTATAAAGGTCAAAAGTCTGGCAGCTTGATAAATTTGGGGACTATGGGACTAACAGGAAAAGTAAAAAAGGGAGGAGGGGCTATTTTTCAAATCACTAGGAGGTTTTCTTGGTATTAATGGAAGTCTAAAGAAAAATTAAAGTGGAAGTAATATTTTAGTAGTTTGTATCTGTTCCACTAGTAGGAGATAACTTTACTAGTATTCTATTGCCAATACTAATATAATTTAGAGATCCAGTTCTGTCACAAGTTTTAAAACAAAAGGTCTGGTAACTGGGTTTTCATGATAATAATATGAAAAGAAAGTTTTAGCAGTAAAGATTGTATCCAACTTTAGTTCTTATAGAGATGTATTTAAAGTTTTTACAATTGCCTTTTACATTTAGAAACATGGGTTCGTTTAGAGGCATGAAGTTTTTATTTTATTTGGAATAATAGTTAAAACTTATAAATGCCTACTTTTTGAGAATTTTTTTCTCTGGACAATAGCCTACTCTGTTATGATTAAACTATTAAACAAGTAAAATATTCTAATTTTAGACTTAGTTTACAAGGCACTGTTTGTTCATTTTTCTGATACAGCTGTGTTGTGTAGACAGTAATGACCATTTGTTTCTTATTCCTGAGAATCTCTGAATGTGCTGCCCATATAATCCAAGCAAAATTTACCTAAACTCTAAAATTGCATTTCATTATATAGAATATGATTTAGCCCCTCAACATGTTCATAATTGTTAATAAAACTGCTTTAATTTTAATGAACATCTTTCTTGGTATACAAAGTAATTATAGTAAAGCTGTGTAATCTCAAAAAAATAAAATTGCTATTTTTTTTTTTTTACCACATTTGGTATAGTATTAAGGAAATAATGTAAAAATTAAATTTTCTTCTATAGTCTCTTATTTCAAGATAATTTTAGTTTTTAAAGAATTGGTAAAAAAAAGTTAAAATATTCATGTATACTAATTTTGCACCTATATTAAAATCTCAACCACAGAATATTTACAAAAGTAAGAAATTAACTTTTTTGTTAAAAGTGGATTGTTGAGTTTTTCTTGTTTTTTTTTTTTTTTTTTTTCTTTATTTTGAGACAGTGTCATAACCTAGGCTGGCCTCAAACTTTTAGTCTCCTACTTCCCCCTCCCAAATTCTGGAATTACAGATATACATGACTATCAAGCCTAAATCGAACATTTAATTTTAAGCATCTATTTTTAGTGGCAGTCTCAAGAGGTATTTCTTGAAACATCCTACTTTTATTGTAATAATTTAAGCCAATTGTATCAACAGTTGAAAATAAGAATTTAGCTGAGCATTAGTGACTATAATCCTGGCTACTCAGGAGACTGAGATCTGAGTTTTGCAACTCAGAACAAGCCTGGGCATGAAAGTCTGTGAGACACTTATCTCCAATTAAGTGCTAAAAACGCTAGAAGTGGAACTGTGTTTAAAGTGGTAGAGTGCTAGTGCTCAGGGACAGTGCTGCCCAAGCCCTGAATTCAAGCCCTGGGATACCAGCACAAAAGAAAAAAAGCAACAAATGTTAATAGTTTAATAGTCGCCATCCCAACAAAGAACTGACTATACAACTAATATTTTTTGCTACAAATTTGCTCTTTTTAACTGTAGAAACCCTTAGTTTTAGGCAAGTGACACTAAAATACCTGGTTTGCAAAAGTGTTTTCTGCATAATTGTTGCTTGGTACTAGGATTTATGAGTTCTTTAAGAATAGAGAGTTCCTTTAAGAATAGTTTTCTTCAAGAGGAAAAATGTTGATGACACCAGCAGCTTAAGAATACCATAGTGGCACTGTTGATAACAAACACTTTGTAGGGCCTGCTGTGAGAACATGCTTTAATTTTTTGATTGGGACTATATTTAACCAAAGCAGGACCATCACCATATTGGTCTATTCTACTCTGTTTCAGGATCAATTTTTGTTGTTAAAAGAGTTTTTAAGGGCTGGGAATGTGGCTTAGTGGTAGAGTGCTTGCCTAGCATGCATGAAGCCCTGGGTTCGATTCCTCAGTACCATATATGGTAGAAAAAGCCAGAAGTGGCACTGTGGCTCAAGTGGTAGAGTGCTACCCTGAAGCAAAATAATCTCAGGGACTGTGCCCAGGCCCTGAGTTTAAGCCCCAGGACTAGCAAAAATGAAGTTAAAAAAGTGTGTGTGTGTGTGTGTGTGTGTGTGTGTATCCATAGGGCTAGCAAAAATGAAGTTAAAAAAGTGTGTGTGTGTGTGTGTATCCATATCCGAATGATACTACTTTTTATTTTTGGTTGTGGTACTAAGATTAGAATTCTGGGCTTCACACTTTGCTAAGCAAATATTCTATCACGTCTCCATCCTCTTTTGCTTTAGATTATTTTTCAGATGGGATCTCAGGACTTCTTGCTGACTTGGCCACAGATTGTGATCCTCCTACCTGTATCTCCTTGAACATGAGAATATAGATAAGTGTCATGCCTATCAGGCAAAGTTTCATTAACTTTTTGCCTAGGCTGAACTCTAATCATGATCTTCCTGCCTCCTGAATAGCTGAGATTACAGGCATGATCCACATTGCTCAGTTATAGTGTTCACTTCTTAAATAACTTTGCAAAAGAAAAAAAAAAAGTTTTCTTAAAACCATGTTTTTATTGACTGCTCATTAATGTTTTTTGTTAGCTAGTTTGGTAGGCCACCCTTTAGGACAAGTAAAATGAAACTTGCCAGCTTTAAACATTTGATGTTCTTGGAAGATTGTGTATTAAATACCTTAATTTGTCATTGTTTATCCACTAAACAGATAAATTGCTCAAATAGATTTAAATATTTTTGTTATTTAAAGTAAGCAAAGAAAAAGGAAACCTTTCCAAGCTTAATTCCCTTAATATCTTAATGAAAGCATTACATAAGGATATAATTGTTTCATTTTTGTATGCTTAGTTTGTTACTGTTTATATTCCTTTGCCAACTGCATTTAACCTTGACTGTTTTGGTCAGCTGTTCTCTTTTTCTAGCATAGTACTTGATGTATTGGTTGGCTGTTGGAAATGTTACACATGCAGCAATATGGGCTAGGTTCAAGCCTAAAGAATTTAAATAACTGAGCATAATGCTTGTGACCCCAGTGAGGCGGATTCTCTTACATAACAAATGAAGAAACTATGGCACTTGCCCAGAGTCAAAAGAGGTTGAGTTAGAGAGTAAATACTCTGATTCAGGCAACTTGACTTACTCTGTACCCTTAACCACTATTCTATACTGCTTTTGCTTGTCAACTTAAAGTATAGACTTCACAACCCATTGGCATGTAACATAGGAAACTAACAACTGATAATCAGGAACAATTTTTTTGTTAGCTGTATTTCATTAGAGAATAAATCTATTAAATTCCTGTCATTGTGTCTGGGTGGTTTTAAATAGCCTGCTAAAAACCCATCATATGATTTGACCAATTTTAGGGTATGCAATTTCTCTAAAGACCCTCCAGAGAGCTCTAATAATCTTCAATGCAGAAAAAAAATCATGAAAATTTCCATGTCCATTTTGATAGTGATGTATATTTTGTAGAAAACAAATCATAACTGATAAAACCTCTACTGAAATAGCATCTCACGTGTCTCTGTTTCCTCTGTTAATGTGAGACCTACTTTAAATAAGTACATATTTTCAGATACTTGGAACCTTAAGTTCCTAGTGTTGAAATAATGATGAACAAGATTGTAAACCCAGGAATAAGCCATGGATCATTTGAATTTTTTCTAAGCGAGCACAGTGCCTTTCCAGCATATGGTTTCTATACCAGCTGGGTCATTGGCAATGGAAATCTGTTAGAATTGCTATTTGTGGATCCCAAACTGCTAAATAAGGACAGGGAAATGGGTTCTAACTATTTGTAATTTTGAAATGCTTTGGATATACAGTACATTTTTAATTTTTAAGAGTTTATTGCAGTATAGTAAGTATACAATATATACCATATTTGAGTGATAAGTTTTACCATCTTTTTTACTTCATTTATGTTTTGTGATTTCTGTACTCTAACAGTCATTTTGAAATTTATTGTGGCTTGCTTTGCCTAATAACTAATGCTACTTTGAGAAAGGAGAGCCAGGAGTGATTCCTTTTTTTTTAATTCCTCTTCTCTGTACCAGAGTGAATTTTCTTTCTCTTTCCCTATCTTACCCTCTTTCCTCATATTGTTCTTCTTAGTGTCCAATGATCACTATTCCATTCTTTGGCAAGGTTGGCAGAACCTTGTAAAGAACAGGCAAATATGAACATGTCTGGCATCTTTCATTTAACATGTTATATAGTAAACTTGAAAAGCTATTTAACACCATGGTCTGAATAGATTTTCATTGCTTTTCATTGGTTCCATTTCTTTTAGCAGTAATTGTAATTGCATTTGAACTCAGGGCTTTGTGCTTGCTCTTAGATCAAGTTCTTTTCAGTAAACTTTTATTTAGGATAGTTTGGAATTGATCGAAATATGTTACCTCACGAAGATTCTATACGTACCACAATCACTTTCCACTAACTTTCTGAACTTTTCATAATTTTAGGTGACTTGCAGTATTCTGAGAGAAATAGTATATTTGTTTCTGTTTTCTTATATTCCTTTTCATTGTGAGTTTCTTGGTCTCAGAGCCCTTAGATGTACTTTGTGGAATAGTGGCTGGGTGTTGAGGAGAAAGTCCCTCAGTTGGAATTTGCCTAGTATGGTGCCATTCTCATCCAGTCATATCATTGGTTCATACTGTTAAGCTTTTGAAGGAAGTATTTGTCAGATTTTTTTATTGTGTGTTTTTTTTTTTGGTTGTTGTTTTTAAGTAAAATTTTCCTATGTCCCATTTCTGTTCTTTGGAAGGAAGTCCCAAAATATAGCAGTCTTAATGCCTCTCAATTTATGAAGTCATTTCCATCAAGAAGATGGACAATATATAAAATTACTTGGACAATTTCAGCAAAGACATTGCATAAATTACTGAAGATTATTATGTCCTTTCACTTGGTTCTCATTTTCCTATGACATAGATGTTTCATTGTCAAAGTTTTCTTTTGTTAGTGTGGGAAGTTTCTTTTGTGTTTGCTTTTTGATATTTTGGGTTGTTTGTTTTGTTTGTGGAGCCCGGAGTTGAATTCTGGGCCAAGGTGCTGTCTCTAAGCTGCTTTTGCTTAAGGATAGCAATCTACCACTTAAGCCACAGCTCCACTTTCAGCTTTTTTCTGAGTAGTTTATTAGAGAGAAGAGTCCCAGACTTTCTTGCCAGGGCTGCCTTCAAACTGGTATCCTCAGATATCAGCCCTCTGAGTAGTTAGGATTCTAGTTATGAGCCACCACTGCCTAGCTAGCATTTATTTTTTAACAATTAACTTACTTTCTGGTATTTGAGATGTTTTGAATCTTATAATCCACCATTTATCTGAGGATCAAGATTTTTGTACTGAAAAGTGGTATTAAGAGACCAGGATCTGAGTTTTAGGTAAGTTTGAACTGTACTCCTAGGTATTCAGTTGACATCAAGGAAGTGTGTTTGTGTGTGTAAACATTTCTCAATAAATTCATTATTATATAGGACATATCCAACCCCCTCGCTTCTGCAACTTACTGCTACAGTGCAAAGCCAGGCTCCCAGGATTTTCTGTCCCATCTGCACAGTGGTTACCCAGGTAAGAATTCTTAACCTAGGCCCCCACACAGATCAGCTTTACCAGTACAGCATAGTGCTTGTGTATACATGTGCTTTAGTTTAAAACTTCTCTTTCCA